AGACTCTCTCATCTTTGACTTTGCTGGCAATTGTTTTTGAAGCCATTTTTTGGGGGACCTATAGTATAACCAGATATACTTTTAGTGCTGCAGGAAATCTTGGAAGCCAGCTAGACCAGCGGTTTTTAAATTGTGATGAGGGCACCCTAAAAGTCCTGCAAAGGCCCACTGAGGTGTGGAGGCGGAGGAGCATGGGGCGTGGTACAAGGCGCCTGGGTCTCCTAGTCCTGCTTCAAGCAGCCCCACCCCCTTTCACCTGTTGGACATACAGGATTTCACTGAATGAAGCACTTCATGGGGTTAGGGCATGGTTTTGAAGACAGACAGACCCTGGTTTTATCCTGGTTCTGTCATTGAGTAATTGTGAACTCCTCAAATTCCTCATCCATACAGTGGGAATAATAATACCTTTCTTGGGACAATTAATGGGATAACATATACACAGCCAGTAGCATAGTGCCTGACACATAGCCAGCTCTCCATAAATGACACCTACTATTATTGGCCACATTCCTGAGCCCAAGAGCCATTCTTAGTGTTCTGTCCTCTTTACTCCACCACCAAAAAAGGGCAGAACTGACATGAAAAAGGTCAGGGACAGGCGGACATAGTGGGGCCATGGTGCTGAGGGTGGAGCTTCAGAGAGAAGCAGCAGGGTGAAACACTCGTTTCCAAATGATGAACCTTTTCGGGGTGGGAGTGGGGAGGGTCTTTCTTTTCCTTTCTCTTGGACCTTCATTTTATTTGAGGTTGCTTCCCACTCTTGGAACTCCAACCACAGATACAGTGAAACATCACAGCCTCCTTCTTGGAAAAAGGCCAAACGAGAACCGGGCGGGACCCAGGCCACTGGACGCTAGGGGACAAGCCCCCCATTTAGAACATGGACCCACCCATTTCTCAGGGAGGAGAATTACACTGCAGTTAGGGCCTAACTCCCTCCCTTGAAAAAGTGGGAAGGAATTTTTTTTGAGTGTGTCATCTTTGAGGAGACTCTGGGGACCCTAGTGGGGGCAACTGTCACCAAGAAAGCCATTGAAAAGAGATTCAAAAATTCAGAGAGCTCAACCCTGTTGCCTTGGCATGGCTATGACACCCTGTGCTTCATCTTCTGGAAGCTGTATAACTGAACTGAATATTAAAAAGAACAGGGCCTGGCACATAGTTGGAGCTCAGTAAATATTTGTTGAATGAATAAATGAATGAGACGGAACACCTGAAAAGTAGACACGTTTAAAATTTATACACTATAATCGTAAATCTAAACCAACATTCAATGTATAAAAAGAGATTTTATTAAATGTTTGTATTATTATTCTGGACAATAAGTTTAATTTTCCCATTAAAATACTTTGGAAAAGTGCTTTGCTACCAGCTAAGGTCTCTTTGATGATCTTGAACTTGCCTGTTCAGGTTCTGCTGTTTATGAGCAAGTCCTTTAACTCTGAGCTTGTTTCCTCCTCTGGGTAGTGGGACTGATAACACCCACCCTAACTACCTCACAGGAACACTGTGAAAGTCATGAGATGACAGATGTGAAAAGCACTTTCCAAACTACAAAGTGCAACCCTCACTTAAAGTCAGATTATAATGATCCTTATCCCTCTGCTGTGGCTCTCAGCACCATGCCACCTGCAATCTTCTCCAGCTCCCTCTGCCTGGCCAAATCTTTCCCGAGTTCAAGGTCTAGCCTTTCAGGAGCTCTGGAGCTCTCCACTAGATCCTGAATTGTGTCCTTCCCTTCCAACTCTGCTTTTGCCCATTGCCCTAACGGTTCACAATGGCCATTTAATGATCGTTCACACAGAGAGATGGTACAGTGGGGTGTTTATGGCTCAGGCGGACCTGCCTGGGATCCCAGCTGTGGCACGTGCAACCTGAGAGACCTCTGGTAGGCCACCTAGCACCTCTAAGTCTCATTTACAAAACGGGGAAGATAAGGACTCTTGCAGTGAAGAGTAACTGAGGTCATTCACTTAAAGTGCTCGACCAAGTGCTGTGCACACAGTAAGCACTCAGACAGCTGTGCTGTTAGGACCACTGAAGCTTGCTTCTTCACTGTGTCCTAAATTTGTCCTGTCTCCCCAGCTGTCCTATCCATTTCTTTGGTTACCTCCAACCCCACTCCCATTCCAGAAAAATGCAGCGAGCATAGTATCTTCCCCCAAAACACCTGTTGTTGAATTGATTAAAAGTTCTCCAAATAGGGCTCAAATCTTTACTATAGCCCATCACAGCCAGCTTGACAGTCAATGTCCACAAGGTAAAGTAACCTCTTCTGGCCCTAGTATCACATTAAAAGTATGTGACTGACCCCTGAAGCACACAGCCAAGCCATTCCCACTACTGGGATGTCCAGCCATGTCCAATGCCCTTCATCGTCAATAGCCTGAAAATACTCCAGAGAAATAGATTTCCTGTGGGAACCTCTGCCAAATGCTGGAGCACTCTCTTTCTGTGAGACATGAACTTTAATCTTAGAGGTGCAGGATAGTATCAAGGATAACACATATGTTTGAACACAGAAAATCCTGTACAACATCCCGAGGGCCATGTTTTAGGACTGCGTTCGTTACAGGTGAAACAAGTCTTCCTGTGTTTTGCTAACAAACTCCCTTGGCTATCATCAACCTGACCCCGAATTCTACACCACAATATGTAATATTATGGACAGACCCTAGTGATTTATAAAACAAACATGATTTAAATCTATGTTTTGAGAAGAGTAACTCTAAACAAAGAATGTCCATTTTATAACACCGTCAACAACAAAATTCTTAATTTCATATGCTATCCATAACTATTCCCAATTGTTTTAGAAATTGTTTGTGTAATCATTTGCTCTTCCACTTAAAAAAAATTGACCTGGAGATTACACAATAAAAATGTTCTCTGGGAACCATGTCACACCTTCCCCAGAATGAGCAAAAGACTGAGAAGTAACCTGGCACTCTTTCACGCTGTTCAGTCTTTTGTCTCTTGATGTCTATGGTTTTCCTGCCCAATAATTAGGAAAGTTTATGCTAACCCTGGTCTTTCTTTGATGTTCTCTTACCTTCCTGGGCTCAAGCTAGGCAAAAATGAAAGCAGCAATGTCTGCCCCTTCAAGAGCATACATTTTACTGAGTTCTAGCACTAGTGTCTTCATCTTCTACTCTCTCATACCCAGAATTAACCAACTATAGTAGTATCCTTACTATTTCCCAGCTACACAGCAGAAGGTGGGAAAAGCCAGCTTTGTTGGAGAACATGCAACCAAGAACATGAGCTCCATTTTATGATAAATGTAAATTTTCTACTAATAGGCAAACACTTCGTTTCAAATGGCTAAATCGAGTGGTACCTAGATACAGAATTCCAAGTGCTCAAGTTTAGGGAACTGAAACGAGTGCCATCCAAGAAATTTCTCCTTCTGGGTCCCAGCATTTTACTTGACTGTTAACCTTTGGGGGTTTTTGTTGTTGTTGTTGCTGTTGTTGTTTTTCAGCTGAGGCATCCTGCCACCTGTTGGCAGCTCAGCTCATGCTGGGAATCAAACCAGCAACTCTGTTGCTCAGAGCTCGCACTCTTGAGCAAACTCTTAACCAACTGAGCCACTCGGCTGGCCCTACCCTTTGGGGTTTTCGTTGTCTCACTAGTAAACAGGTCCTGAGAGCAGTGCTGCCCTCAGTAATAGTCTCTGCCTTGATGGAAAAGATCCATGTTCTTTCAATGATCGCCTGTGTAAGAAATGCTGATATTTCCCTCCTATTTTATCTCTATTAAGTGTCTGTCTGGCTTTTCAGTCCTCTGCAGCCACCCCTTTTCTTTCTCAAAGCAAAATAGGGAGATCCTGGTCACAACACCATGCCGTCTGGCTTTCAAGTTGTTTTAATTAGTAATGCTACTTACTCACTGTGGGTCTGAGCAGCAACCCTGCTTCCTTAAGCTCTATCAACTCTCCCCAGGGATATAGCTTTTAATCACTCTTGCCCAGACTTTCTGCCCTTCTCCACTTCCTTGTATGCAGCATCCAGCCCTCCCCCTATTACCAATGGTGGAGAGGCATCCAGGATGGGCAAGGTCATAGCCAAATGCCACCATTTACTCTCCACTCTTAGTTTATGGGTCCTTCACTCCTAGAGGCAAAATCCTAAGTCGTTGAATGTTTGGCTTATGGTCTGCAGATAACAAACTGCGCACGCAAGGTCCTTCGTGTACAATATTTGTACCCAAAACTACACATGAAAAGAGTGGCAACATTTTGGGCTACCTACTCATCCATCGTACTGCTACACTTGTCAGCGGATCTCAAAGATGCTGCTTCTGCTCTGTTGGTCCCCAAGCCGAGCTGGGAATGAGGCTGGTGAGAGCAAAGCAAGGCTAGTCTCTGACCCCAAATGTTGGCATGGCGTGAACAGAAAGCCAGAAAAACTGAAGAGCTAGGACTATCAAGAGGGGCTTAGGCGGACAATCACACTTTTATTTTCCTTACGCTTTTTGATTGTAGATTTAATTCAATTTTGCCATGGCGGGATTAGCAACCAGGCCACAAAGGTGAAGGGACATTATAATAAGACAGCATATTAATCCTCTATCCCACCCAAGGCAGAAGCAAAACCGAACAAATAGCAGCTTCCTGGAAATTGAATTTCTGTTATCCAGATGTCAAAGATGTAATACCCCAATTACACAAACTATTGCCAGTGAAGCATGCCAGCAAATATGCAATGTAAATGGGGTGAACGCCGAGCGACAAAAATGCACCGTCAGCATCTGGCTCTGGCAGTGAGTGATAATTAGCACTGTGTGTAGACACTAATAAACATTTATGTCTGAAATTACAACTTTTAGCAATGTTAATAAGGGATATATTGGCAATCTGTAAAATAAAGGGTCTTGAAAAGAATGTCATACATTAAGCAATGACAGACATTTCCCGATCTGGAACAATCCCCCCCCCTCCCAACTGCAAATGGCCACGCTGTTTTGCTGAGAATTTAACTGACACAGGAACCTACCTAAAAAAATGGGCTGTGTCTCTTTGGCCTCCCCATTAACATCGTTGTTGAATTCTGAGATCTTATATACCTCATGGTGATAATCTGGGATGAGAAAACAACCAAAAATTAGAATTCTAATGGCCTGCAAAGATATGAATAAGCAATAAAGACTAGAATATCATTATATATATTATGGATAACCTGTACTTTAATTTGTAAATATAATTTTCCAGGACTTGGTCAGTCACAGAATTTGTAGTCACTAATGATCCCTAAACTTTGCTTACTCTAAAGAAGTACACAAACTTGAAATATTACTTTGACTTTAGAAAACAGCTTTGTTTGATCACACGGTTTTCATAGTAAATTTGGCCCACAGATGCCAATTATTAGGCCTCTTTTCTTTCCAGTGACAAGGATGTCTGTAAGGAAAAGAAAAACCTTGCCCAATCATAGGCCAGGGGGAGGATTCCAAATTTATTTCCACAACCCATTTTCATGAGCATATGAATAATAGTATGCTTTAGAGTTACGTGGCACTCTCAGTTTACTCAGAAAAGTCCCCGCCTTTAAATACCTTACAGGCAATCACACTGGAAAAATACTGATTTGTTACTTCAAATATAGTATAATTTGGATAAGAAAGCAAGATTCTCATCTTTTGCACAAGTGACTCTTCTGCATTCAGCTACTGCACTTTAATATGCAGTAGTTTATTTTCTAAAAATGCACCTGCAGAGCAGAGAGAAGAATCAGATCCATAATTTCACGTGGGAAAAAAACAACAGAAAAACTTGCGATGTTGGTCAAACTTTAAAAACACAGTATTTTACAAGCTTCTCTATAGAGGCGACTGTGCTTTGGCAATCTATTTTTAAAAAGTAGGATTGTCTAGGTAAGAAGATAGAGGTTCCTTCTTAACAACTATTACCTTTTTTTGGACTTGGACCTTTCTGGACAAAGTCTACAGAATTCTTTTTCACTTTTAAGATAAAGTAGTAAGTTCCCTGAGGTCATAAATCAAAAAGCAGCCTGTGTTCCTGAATAAATCAGAGAGACCCATAGGCCAGTCACACATGGGGGGAGACATTTTTAAAGCACAAATGACTGAGTAATCAACAGTGCTGGGGAAAAGGTACACAGAAAAGGGAAAGAGAAATATTTTGAATATGTAAAACTATTTCAGGTCTCTTTCATTAAACAATGTCAAACTAAATCAGGGGAAACAGATATGAGGAAATTTTCAAAATGTCTATAATCAAACCATTTTCAGACTAACCGAAAGTAGGCTTTATTAAATCTATATCATAGTTAGCTTAGCTTGAAATGCTCTAGTACTTGCAACTGCTCTCTAATTTTCGTCTGCTTACATGTGACTTCTCCAGGCTGTTAAAACAATCACCTTGCTCTCTACTCTGATTCCAAAGCTAGACAAAGCAAAAAGTGGACAGGTTCTGTGGTTTGGTTTTGGCCTCAAGTTGATTTAAAAAAGGTATTTCAACAGGGTGGTTCTAAACTTAATATCAGGACTTGTGACATTACCATAAAAAAAGTCATCTGCCTGTCATTTAAGGTGACACAATGCATTTTGATAAACACATTTTTACGTCTGCTCTTAAGTTCTGACCATTTTTTTTTAAAGTCACATCAGGAAAATAAAGACTAACAAGTAACTGAACACAGGCAGACTGTTCAACTGATGACACTATCCAACTTGGTGTACACCTGTTAAATCGTCTGGAACTGGCTGGATGATATATATATATATTTTTTTTTAGTAATACTTATCTGACTGCTAAGTGATTTCTTCTAAAACACCTTTCCAAATAACGTAACTAGAAAAGATGCTGGATGTCAACAATTCTTACGTGGGCTCGTACGCCTCATGAGCTTCTTTCTCATTCTTAAAAGAACCATCACCACCTTTTTTTTTTTTGCTTCTCTTTGGGGGAAAACAAAAACAAAAAACGAATAACCCAAGCCCACAACCATTGGTCGGGATGGGTGTCCCCACGGCCTGGTGGAAAGACATTTCTCCCCGCAGCCCCCAGCCTGGCCACAGGAGTGGAATACCAAAGAGGGCTCCTCTGCTCCCCAAGTGTCATTGTTTGCTAATTTCCTTAGTGCCCTGAGACTTGTTTACGCGGAACCACAGCCTCCTGCCTTCCCCCCGCACAACTTTGCTCGCCGCCCGGCGTGTGCGGCCGCAGCCCGCCTCGGCAGGGGACTCGGGGGTCCCGGAGCCCCGGAGCGGGACGCGCGGCCGGGGCGCGGGCCGCGCGCGGGGCTGTTGACGCGGCGCCACGTCCTTCCCCGCCGCCCGGCCGCCCGGCCCGGCACCGCTTACCTCGGCTCACCAGCTTGAAGCTCTGGGATTTCCTGCTCCTCTTCCTCTCGGAGAACTCCATGGTGCGGGCAGGAGGCGGGAGGCAGGGCTGCGGCCGGGCGGAGGGAGCGGCAGCCGAGGCGGCGGCGGCGGCGGCGGCGCTGGCTCTTGTCACCCGGCCGCGGGAGCGCCGGGACCAAGGTCCGTCTCTGGAATCCGCAGGGGGGAGGCCGAGGGAAGGGAAGAGCCACCTCGAACCCGCTCGGGGGCTGCGGCGCGCGGGGCTCGGCAGGAGGTGCTTTCCCGGGAGAAGTTGCCCCCTCCCGGTCGCCGCCTCCGGGTCCCCTCCACACGCCCCCCGACCCCGGCTCCCTCCCGGCTTCTGGAAAAACGGGGCCGGAGCCGAACTTTCCGTTGGGGAGCGAGTTGGGGGCGGGGAGGGCGGGCCGGGGCCGCGGGCGCCCCGGGATGTCGCCGCGGGCCGGCCTGGGCGCAGCT